CCTAGTGGTCTGTGAACTTCCTCCTTCCAAGTTCCACCCCTTATTGTTAGGGCAGAGGTTCAGGCTGGGCAGATTGAGAACTCACAGAAGGGACATATTCTGGGCCAGTGAATGATCAGAACAGTGTCTGGAAGGAGAAAAGGTTGCTGAAATGAAGGAGAGGGGCAGACAAGTCCCTGCCCTGCTGGCTCTCAGTTGATCACAGGAGACCTCAGAGGCATGTTTTGTCTGAGCACAGTCTCTATGATCCAACCTTCCACCAGGCTGAGAGGAGCTGGCCTGGCCCCAGGCCTCCTGCTGGACAGTGCCTGCCTGCTTCCACCCCTGTCCCAAGGAAAGAGGCAAGACTTCAGGGCCTCAGCTAAGAGAATTAATCTATGATGCCTTGAAATAACTCAACCCATTTCTGCTGTTAATCTGGGTACTTCTGTGGACCAGAAAGAACCCAGCTCCAACAACCACTACCAGCCATGAGCAACCTCCTGGCTGAATTAATTAAGAGCATTGCTGACAATGAAGATCTCCATCCTCACTGGCTCACTGGTACTTCCACCCCTCACTTCCACGTGTCTCTAAACATACTTGGTCCTCATCTCCTCTTCTTTCCTCCTCCCTGTGGCCTTCATGACACTTGCCTTATGACAGGCCATTCCTGGCATGAATAACCTCTCCTGTGCATGACCTGTTTACCTGCTTCAACTGGAGGATGGTGCTTTGGGGGGCTCCAGTCCCTATGGTCCTGTCATGGGACACTGCTGTTTGCCTTCATACTCATGTACCCTAGATGGCTTCCTTTACCCACTTCTCACTTCTCAACTAGCCCTCCTTCCTCATCCTCTTCCATCTGGAGTTGGAGCTCTTAGACTTTTAGTCCCCTTGGTATTGTTCCCTGATGCTGAACTGCATCAGTCTCTTCTTAACTCCCCACCATGAAGAAAGACCTGGACTCCTGGGCCACCTTCTTCCCCATCACTACTGTACTCTTCATTCTCTGTAACTTGACCATTCACGTGGGTGATCTGGCCCTCATTCTCATCAATCAATTCCTGGACCCAACTACTTCTGATAGTATAACCTCAGCATTCACTCCCATGAACACATCCAGGAACTTCTCCCTACCAGAAACCCACCGCCTCTGAAGTCTCTACTTCATCCCACCCTTTAACAACACTCCTGACTTTCTGACTCATATTCTGTTACCCTCTGGACACATCTCACCTTACCGAGACTTCTATTCTCACTTCCTATTATGGGCTGAATTGTATCCTCCCCAAATTGTTGAAGTCTAACCCCTGTCACCTCGGAATTTGACTATATTTGGAGATTGGACCCTTAAAAGCTCATTAAGTTAGGTGAGGTCATTAGGGTGTTGAATGGTGTCCTTATGAGAAGAAGAGATTAGGACACAGACACCTGCAGAAGGATGACTATGTGAGGACTCAGGGAAAAGACTACCTCTACAAGGTGAGAGGACTCAGGAGAAGTCAACCCTGTGGGCACATCCATCTCTGATTTCCAGCCTCCAGAAGCATGAGCACAAGACAATAAATTTCGGTTATTGATGCCACCTGGTCAGTGGCACTTGGTCATGGACGTCTGAGCACAACTCCTTACTCAGGTCACATTCCACATCATGACCATTCCTTCTGCACCCCCCCACCCCGAGTTATGTCACCAACTCCGGCAGAACTCACTGACTCACCTTCTTCTTGCCTGAAGCTGAGAAGCTGAACATTTCGGGAACGGGGTTGGAGGGAAATCCCATAACACAATTTTAACTAATTTCTCCTAAAATTGATGACTCCAGATACTCCTATATGGACCCTAAACAGCTCTTAAATCTCACCAAATGTCCAAAGCAAGAGGCTACCTCATACATTGCTTTAATTCCTCTTTGTCTTCAGAATCCCATCTCTGCCCCCTCTGTGGCTCTGCTGATCTGAAACCAGGAGACTCATACTCCCATCCCTCCTGCCATGATTGCTGTGCCACAGGTCTTGGGACAAGTTTTGTTTTTCCAAAACAACAAAAGTTCTTATTCTTTCAGTTCCATCTCTTTTTGTGTTGGCAAGCATTCTACCACTCTGTTGATCTCCTCCCTCCTTATCAGCAATTCCTTTTACTGGATCACTTTCTTGTACTTGTCTACACACATCATGAGCTTGCCTCTCTCTAACTAGAAACACTTCCCTTGACCCTCATCCTCTTCCAGAAACTGTCACATTTTTTTCTCTTTCTTTTAATACTCAAATATTGGAATAGACTCACCCACTCTCGCTGGTTCTGCTCAATAACCACCTCATCAACAATTTCTTTCTGCTGTTGGACTATTCACTCCCACATACAACCATTTGTTCTTCCTACTCCTCCAGCCTGAGCCTTGTCAAGTTCACTGTCAATGTCAAGATTCTTAAGCCCAGTGTCCTATCTTTCCTTGGGCTTTCAATAGCATTCCATGTAGTTGGCCATTCTCTTCCTCTCTCTTTAATCTGTGACTCAGCTCCTGGCTTTTCTGTACATCATGAGCTGCTGTTTTGTATTCTCCTTTGTATCTTTCTCTGTCTGACCTCTGGGACCCTGTTCTCTTATTGCCAGATGATCTCATCCAGGTCCACAACTTTAAATATCATTTAGGTGCTGATGGCTCTCAAATTTATATCTCTGTACTGACCTCCCTGGAGCTCCAGACACATAGATCTAACCTGACATCTTCCCTTACATGACTCAAGGCACTTCAAATCAAATGTGCTCTGACAGGATTTCTCTATTTTCAATCCCCTCCCCACCTTATGTCCCATCTCAGTAAGTGGTACCACCATCCATTCACTGGCCCCAATTAAAAAAACAAAACCAAACAAAATAGGAATTCCTCTTACTTCCCTTTTCCCTGCTTTGAGATACATCTAGACCCATGCACATTTTTCCTTACGCTCAGCCCTCGCCCACGCTGCCTTCGTTTCACTTGAAACTGAAGTCATTTCCGAAATGGTCTCCCTGTTTGCCTTCAGTGGGCAGTTGCTGCTCAGGGAGGAGGACTCTGGGAGGAATTGGTTGCCTGCTGTGTGGATGACACAATCAGCGGTGCTAATTGGATTAACCAATTTGCCCAAGGGGAGGTGCGTGCATTCGCTCCTTTCTGCTGAACTTCCCATAGAAACAGCACTTCCATTCAGAAAGCCAGATCAAGTGCCATTAACAAATTAATTCCGATTAGCGCAGACCTCAAGGCAACCCGGTCAGTCATCTTGGGCCTGGCCTGCTAATAAAGTGGAAAGAGTACTGGAAGCAGAGGTGATTATTCTGATGCCTGTCTTTGTCCCTGGAGGGGAGAAGAGTGGGATATGATTTCATGACTGTCTCCTGAGGGAATTAACTCACTTTCAAATGATAAATTATTAATTCTACAACGTGGTGGTCATATCCTTGAGAACAGATTTGCTTCACACCTCTGTCTGGCCCCTGCAGCTCTCTATTTAAGACCAAGCATTCAGCAGGTGCCCAATAATTAGATGAAAGAATAATTAGTTGTCAAGTGGGAAATAAGTCTGGGGCCTGGTTCCTTAGTAATCCTTCACTCTTTTATTTAACAAATGCAGCACAGCAGATTCAAAAGTTAAACCAAACAGACAAGTTCCTGTTCCCCCAGACTTTACAGACATGGGAGGGAGCAGAGACAACCAGCATTAATCCAACAAATGCAAGGCTAGCAAGTAACTCAAGATAAGAAAGGGGGGTCAAAGTGACAGTGTGCTGATGTGAGAAAAGGATGCTCAGGAAGGGTCCTGACACCTGAACTGAGCTCTGCATGATGAAAGGAACCAGCTGGCTCTGAGGGAACCTTCTAGAGAGAGGGACTAGAAAAGGCAAATGCATGCTGTCAGAGAGTCAGGTGCCAGTACCTCCATCCAGCATAGTCATTTCTGGTAGCCAACTGCTCTTCTTGTAGTCCCCAGGGCAGGGCAGACATGTTCCTGTTGAGTGGCTGGATTTGCCCATACCTGTCAGAGTGTCTGGACATGATTCTTTCATCTCTCTTGCCCTTCTCACTCGTGGCACAGAGCTTTGTTCCATACCTACTTTTTCCAACAAAGTCTTTCAAAATCCTAATTAGAAGGGACCTCCCTTCTCTCTCATGTCCCACAGCACTTATTTGTCACCTCCAGTCCCTATTGCTTTATATGGGTAAACATAGTATTCTTATATATTTGAGTCTCCTACCCCATGCCCTGTTCCTATCATCAAGCTAGTCAGTGGCGGAGGCCTCAACCACTGTGTGTGAGTTACAGAAACACAGGGCATCTGAATGGATTCCCTGGTCCTGTGCAATTCCTAAGGGTAGATGACAGCTCCTTGAAGTTCTGCTTCTCATCCTAGAATGTCTAACATGGACAAGAAAAGAAGGCACTCCATCCGGCTCCAAGTAGGGCTGGCTTTGGTTTGAAAAATAATTTCCAGAGGATGATTAAAAAATTAAGACTATTGGCTTTGTTATGGGAAGGCTTAGAATCTTTCACAAGAATAGTAGCCAGCTAGAGGGATGAGGGTTGGCTTGAAGAGGAAAGGTGTCAGGACCAAGAAACCAAATGAAGGAGATAGCAAACTGCTCTCCCAGAGAGGTGTGCCATCCCAAAGCCCCTGAGTGGCTGAGTTTATCAGCAACTCAGATGAGCATCAGCCCAGCCCCACCAGTAAAACACGGCTGCTGACTATAATCAGCCTTCCTGCCTCTCAAAACCTTCCTGCCCCCCCAGTTTTTCCAGATTTCCCACAACTGCAATGCTCCTTCGTCTCACCCAGAAAGCTAGAATATCATCCAACAAAACACAAGTGTGTAATAGTTGCCTTCAGCTTCAAGGCACCCCGCTGACCCATCCTGAGTCCTGAGGTCCCCAAGCTATGGCTAATGGGGATGAGGCTGAGGTGTCCAACCCTGGAGGAGGGAAGGCCAATGGGCATGAGGATGAGATGAACGTGGAGATGCACTGGGCACTGCAGCTAACCTTTCACGAGGACAGTCCTGGCCTGGGCCCACTCGCTCCTCCCGTCTGACGTCAGCAGGCCGATTGGAGGCAAGCGTTCATCCTCGTTGGAAGCCATTTTGACTATCTTTCTCAACTGAGTGAACAGATCCCCCTCACTGAGACGGCGGAAATTAATGACAACATCCAAGACAAAGAACTGTGGGGGAAACAGGTCAAACACGTCACTCTTGGCAGCCAGCCCAAAGTGCAGGCCTTCATTGCGCCTTCACAGCTGAGCTCAGGATGGGGGATGCTCAGGCCCATGGTTCCCAAGGTGTTTGATGGCTCCGAATCATCCCAGTTTGGTGAACAACCAAATGCTGTTCACTGTACTGGACTCCACACTGTGCCCCATCCCCCTTCAAAGATGGCCAGATTAAAATTAGTAAAAGAAAACTTGCTTTTGTGGTTTCTAGTTCATGCAAAACCATTATGTTTACAGGGAATGGAGTATAAATTGGTATAACCACTGTGGGAGGGCAGTATTTATCAAAAATAAAAATGTACATACCCATGACTTAGCAATTGCACTTGTACATGAGAAACACATCCATGTGCACTGGAAGACTTATGATGGAACGTGTGCATAGCAACCTTTTTTGCATTAAAAATAAAACAGTAGAAGGAGCTTCACTGTTCTCCAGGAGGGGAACAGCTAAATAAAATGTAGTGTTCTCAACAAGCTCAGAATGAGCTAAAAGAAACTAGCTCCAGATAGTGCTATGGAACTAGATCTCCAACACACTGGTCAGTGGTAGGAAAACAAAAACAAAGCAAGCTGACAGATGAGATGCATGGGAAGATCAAAATGGACAAACAACACACAAAAGCCTTTGTGCATCCATGTGCACATACACATGTTTATCTGCATGGGCTTTATATGTAAATACCGTGGTGCTGTGGTTCTGCAGCTCCGAGAGCCAGAGCATTCAGCGGTGTAAAGGGTCTCTTTCTCAATGCAGATGAAAGCATACTTTCCAGCTGATTCACATGAGTACCTATTCCCCTGCCCTAAGCTGTGTGCAGAGCAGGCGCTCCAAGGTTGTTTCTGTAGGGTGTGGGTACCGTACCATGTGCAGACTGGGAAATGTTGGGGTTGACTTTTGAATGAAGTCAGAAAAAGGTTTTCATTTTGTGGCTGGCTGGCCAAGATGTCAAATGAGCTGGGAAACCTCCCGTTGGCCTTCAAACCTGGGCACAGGGCTCACAGTTGTCCTCAGATAACAAATCTTCACTGATCTCCCAATTTACTAAAGATATGAGATAAGCCCAAGAAGAAAACGTTACAGAACAAGCACGGTGGTGGAAGGGTAACTCTGAGGTGAATGTCAAACTTAGGTTTTAGCAAAGTAATAAAAACAAACAACAGAAAGAAAACACCCCTTTCAAAAAACCCACAAAACAAAACACTATTTGTCATATGAAATATTTTTGTGTAAACTCAATACACAGAATATATAGTGGGTGGGCACTAGGAAGGGGTCAGAGCCCTCATGATCAGTCTTTTCCCCCACCATGGGGTCCTTACTGGCTCCATGGAACCCTGCCTGAAGATCTGAGGTACAGGGCATTGACCAGACCTCAGGGTCCTTCTCACTCTTTTACAAACCATTTAACTTGTTCAAGTCATACTTCATCAGTCAAATGAGGACTCAAGGACCCCTCTGCAGGGTCATTGTAGGATTAAATGGGGTGAATAAGTATTAAGTACTGGGTCCTGTCTGGTCCATGTGAAGTCTTGTCTATCAGTCCCTGACTTTGTCCCTTTGTCTGTGTGTGGCCTCTACAAAGACCATGGGCTGAGTGACTACATGGAAATGAACACATGTTGTGCAGGTGGACAGCCAAAGCAACACGGGGACTCCTTCAGAATCCTCAGTCCATCAATCAGTTCTTCAACCTGACTTGGCTCCACAGGGCTGAAATGACCCCAAGGAGGGAATTCCCTAACTCTCCTTGTTCTTAAAAGACAGCTGGTAGACAGAAGTGGGACTGACTGTGAGTAGGAGACACCACTTTGGGGCCACTGTGCCCCAGCTCATGGTGTGACTCAGGGAAGTGGCCTGTGAACCCTTGAAGAAGCAAGAATGGACAAGCACACCTGGCCACTGCATGCCTCACACCCTCCCTGAGTCTAAAGGCTGCAGAAGTGACATGGGGCCATTTACCTGGTTGCAGCAGGCCACAATAACATGCTCAGGCTCGGGCATGATGCTGCTTTTCTGAGCCACCAGTGTGTCCTGGGTGTGGCCAGGGAGCCGGTATGAAGAGAAGAGTCCATAGTATTGCTTCATACAGAGGGGTTGCCCTGACAGCTGGCCCTTGGCACAGTCAGTGGGGATGGAGTGGCTGGAGGGGAAAGAAGAAGGCAGCTGTGAGAGGACGAGGAGGGGAAGAGAGGGAATTAAGATTGGTTTTATGCTAATTTTTTTTCTTTTTTTGGTGTTGAGGATTGAACCCAGGGTCTTGTGCATGCTAAGCAAGTGCTCTACCATGGAGATAAATCCCCAGTCCTCTATTATAACTTGATTAGGCTAAATGGGTCACCACACTCAGAACTGATCACAATGTCAGTTGCAGAGCTCAATTCTCCATTTTTTGAAGTAGTGGAACACCCCATTTCCATGGCCCTGGAGACCCTCAGTGTTTCCTCAAATCTCCACTACTCCACCCTCACACCGGTTTCAGGTACTGCATAGGCAAATCTTGCCATTTAGTCTACTGTACCTTTGCTTATCTTGGTCTTTCTTTGGCATGCCTTCACTCCTACTTACCCCGGCATTCTACAGTTCTGTTTAGAAAATTCCTTCTTCTCCTTCAAGAGCCTACTCTTGTATCATCTCTCTAGCAGCTGAATCTCAGTTAAAGGCAGAAAGTTCTCTTTTTTTTTCCTGTGGTATCTGCATGACTTGTGTTTATCATTCCTTCCTCTCTTCCATTCATCCATCCATTCATCCACCCACCATGCATTCATATGTCCATCCATCCATCCACCATGCATTCATTTATTCATCTACTCATTCATCAACCCATTCATCCACTCATGCAGCATCCATCTATCCATCCACTATCCACAAATCCACCCATCCACCTATCCACCTATCCACCACTAATACATACATACATACACTCGTCCACCACCCCTTCATCCACTTTTCCATCACCTATCCATCAATCCACCATCCATCCATCCATCTTTTCTCCCTTTCAGCCAACAAATTTTGCTGAACACCTCCTCTGTGCAAGGCACCATTCTGGGGTCTGACCATACAGTGACAAACAGGACATGATTTTCCTACTCTGAGGGGATACAAGTCCTGGGTTGTGTTGGTGAGAAGTAGAGTACAAGCAGCAAACAGGCAAAGAGGAGAATTTCAAGTAGTGAGACTGAGTGACGGGTAAGGGCAAGAGAAGGTGTCTGGGGGACATTCTCGCTGAGTCCTAAAGGTAAGAAGCTGCCATGGAGGTGGGCAGTGTGGAATGTCCCATGACACTCCCACTGAAAGTAAGGGCATTACGCTAAACTGTCATGACTGATCTATGATAGAATGAGTGCAAGAATCCAGCAGCATTTGTAGCAATGTGATGAGAATTTTGTGTTGAATCTAATAATAAAACATGTGGTCTTAGATTTTATATCTTTGTAATGTTTTTCTAGTAATTCACTTTTGGTAAAAAAAAAAAAAAGATCCCTCTTCAGAGATAGATTGAGAAGCACCAGTGGGCCAACAGAAGTCAGAAAAGAGGATGGTGAGGAGAAGGCTGGAGAGGTGGCCAAGGCGCGGTCCTGTGGACTGCAGTGGCAGAAGCAGGAGTTGGTGGCTTACGCTTGGAGCAGTAAAGGCCCCTGGAAGGCCTTAACAGTCAGGGGAATGATTTGGAGCTGGGGACTGAACTTAGAACCTTGCCCAGATTAAGCACACACCCTACCACTGAGCTACACCCCCAGCCCTGTTTTGTTTTTCCAATGACTCTGGTTACATGAGAAGAGTGGGTCTCAGGAAAGGCAGGAAGAAGGCTAAAGCTGAGATGAGAAAAGTGATGTGAGCCAGAGAGGAAGGAGAGAAAAGGGAGGGGAGGCTTGGAGGGAGAGTGGCCATATCTGAGCGTGGATTAGACGAGGGGGGAAGGAGAAAAGGTGCTGCAGGGGACTTCTGAACGCTAGGACCTACTAACTGGGGATAGGCCCTTGCACGTAACTGAAGGGTAAGGCAAGGGAGGAGCAAGTTGAAGGTGGGAAGGGCTAAAAAACTCTATTAGACTGCTTTGCAATGGCCAGCAGACATCCCAGTTGGGTTGTCTGGAGCTCATGGGAGCAGCAAAGCTGAACTTTGTGTCTGTCTTGCCCAATATCTGAGAACTGGTTGAGAGCAAGGAAGAGGCCTAATTTCACTTCCTCTTCCTGGCATCAGTACAATGCAAAGTGAATGAATGAATGAAGTGTACACAACAGGCACTTGGGCAAAATTCCTGCCTATGACACTTACAAGCATTAGACACAGAAATCTTATATGCGTGGGCATGCGTGTGTGCACGAAATGCTCACACACAAGTGCTTACACACACATACAAACAACACACACACACATGCATGTACACATACACATACATATACATATGAACATACATACACGCACACACACATACACATAATATACACACATACACAATACACACGCATACATACACACATACACACACAATACACACATACATATACACTTATACACACATATACACACACATACACACAATGCATACACATATACACACATACACACATACACATACACACAATACACACACATATGCACACATGCACACACGTACACACATGCACCCCCATATATATACACACATACACACACATGCTCACACACACAAGTGCTTACATACACACACACACACACACACACACACACATGCACCCACAAGAGTGTCAGGGCCAAGTCTGTCAGTAATGGATGTTCCAGTGAACAGGGTGGGGCCCTCTCTCCTCCACTGTGCCACTGGGGTGCTATAGGGACAAGGGTCTCTGAAGATGGAGACTCCATGTGAGCAGGAGTAATGAGTTCTGTGAGGGGGCAGAGCACTTCCTGAAGACAGAAACAGTAAAGGAAATACCACAGGAGATGACAGTCACAAGGTTGGTGGTGATAGTCACAGTGAAAGAAAGGCACAGTGATCTGGCATTGGAAAGGAGCAGGCAGAGAGTGCCAAGGAGTATGTAGTCCATACCCACAGTGGACAGCCTGCTTGCACCTTGTTCAGGTCTGAGAGCTTACAGGTGCACAGGACAGTCACTGCTGTCCCTTAGTGAGGCTGCCATTTGTGTTCCCATTAGACAGACAGGGGGCAAGAGTTAGAAGCCATCAAACTCACTCCAGATCAACCCTCCCACTATTGTGGGGAACTGAATTCAGAATCAGGTCTGAGGAACCCAGGACCTGAACCCTAAGCTTCTCTGCCTTCTAAATCTGCCCCTTAAATCTGACCCCTCTTCTCCAGAGGGGCTGTGGTTCTGAGCTTCTTCCCCAAGGCTGAGTAGAGATTGAGTTGAATCCGGTTGAACAGAGAGTTCCCCTTGTTCCTTCTTTGCTGTTACCTTCCATCTGTGTGAGCACAGGTAAATTACTTAATCTCTCTGAGCTTTAGCTTCCTTACTTATGCAAATAGATGCCTTGGGCCCCTCCCTCATTTCAGTATCAGTGCCCTTATATTCTCTGCCCTTATATCCTCCAGACCCTTTTCTTTTCCTGCTGTTCCGAGACACCCTGGAGTTGGTCCAAGAGAAGGACATTTCTTCTAGAATCAAAGATAAGCCATTATGTCTAGGCAGTTCTCTCCACCTGTGAGAGGAGCCCTGTGTCCACTGAGCTTGGTGGGAGTCAGGATGGCTCAGAGACCATCTCTCCAGTATGTTCAGCTAAGCTCGCATGACCTTATACCTCTTCCTTCTATACTGTCTGTGTGTTCTCTAGACTGCAGACAATCTAATTCACACTACGGAAAAACAGAGGAGATATGGAGAGAGGGGGCATTTAAGCAAGATCAGGGAAGGATGGTATTTACTCCAGGAAAGGAACACTTAATGGTCAGGTCAGCTGGCTGAAAGCCATCCTGATGCTAGGAAATGGGCAGTGGGATTTGTGATCAGCACAGGTAAAAAAGACAAGGTCTCTGCCTTCTGGAGCTCCATGTGTAGCTCAGCAGGGAGACAGCCTGTCCAGAGCAGGGCCCTCCCCTTCCTGGGCTGGGCCCAATCTTACCTGTCCAGCAGAGCCTTGTAGGTGAGCACACCAGAGATGAGGCTAGCTGCAAACCTGCAGAGGAACAGACATAAGGCCTCAGGGATCCTCCCATCCCCACCCCACTGTGCTTCCTGCCCTCCCTCTCTCCTTCCTTTTGTTCCTTCCTCCTCCTATCTACTTGTCTCCTTCTCTGCTCTCCCCATGGCTTCTTCTGTCCCAAACTCACGAATCATCCACCATATGCCAGGCCCTGCTGCCCCTCCCCTATTGCAGTCAGCCACCACAGAACCTTGGATTATAAATGGTCCTTTGGTGAGAACTGGGGGTGGAGCAACTCTGGGGGGCAGAAGAGAAAACCAGAATCATTTTGGGGAGGAGGAGGAATGAGAGGGAGCCAGGAAAGGCCCCAGAGTGGCAGGAAAGGTCTGGAAAGTGAGGGGTGGAGTTCTTCTTGGCCAGTCCTGAGGTTGAACTGGGCTGGGCACCTGGAGTTCTGGAAATCCAGTCTCTGGGAGACGTCTATAATGTGGTTCCCTTACTGTCTAAAAACAGGGAAACCAAGTGCTGGGTGGGGACAGAAAGGCCCCAGAGAACTGTGCCAGGGGACTATGCCATCTTAACTGACCATGGCTGATGAGGCCCGGCTTCATTGCATGGGGAAGGGAAATGCCCCTCAGATGCAATTTGAAAAGTGGTTTTCAGAAATTCATCCATCCACACACTTCCTTCTGCCAGAGGAGTCCCCAGCTGCAGGGGAGAGGGAAGGCTGCCCGCAGGTCAGGGGAGTTGGTCCTAGGGGACCAGTGTGGTTGAGCCCTGCCAGAAGCTGCAGGACCCTGCCTCTTCTTCTAAGGCCACTTGGTCCCATTTTGGTCTCAAGAGCAGGAACTCTGACAGATGCCAGCAGGGAGACCATCCCCCCTCCTCGCCTGCCATTACCATGTCCTCAGTGGGCCCAGAGGCCCTTCCAGCGGCTCAGTGAGCTCTGAAATTGCAGCAGATGGTTCCTCCCCCTCTGGAGTCTGTTTGGAACTGGGCTCTAGAGAGCACAGAGGCACTCTCAGGCACCTGGAGTTGTGTGATAAGGTGACAGAATACACACCTGCCCTCAGGGCCTCGGCTGGGTCGAGACTGCTGTAGGGTTCCTAGAGCCCATGACCCCCATCACTGCTCATCTCAAATAAATATATTTTGAGGATGACCACTTGAGTAGCTAGCTTGACCATGGCCTAGATGTGCTGTCTCAAGGCATCTGACCCCAGAAACCTCAGCCAACACACTACTTTGGTACTGGTGCCCTGTTCCCTACCTTGGATGGGTTCTCAAAACTGCAAGCCCAGGAGTACCGTGGCCTTACCTTAGCTGGTCATTGGTGTCTTGGAAGTGCTGCTGAGCAAAGATCACAGCTGGGCTGGAATTGACTGGCAGGGCCAGACGGTTGTTAAGATACATGTCATTCAGCCAGTACTCGGACACCTGCCGAGGAGAACAGGAAGGGGTGCCGTTACCTCCTGAGGGTACCCTACCAGTGGAGGTCACAGTCCCATCCTGGCCACCCTGAGGGAAGATTGGGGTACCTTACTGGAGCATTCATTGACTCTTCTCACAGAAGAGTCACAGAAGAGTTCACTGAGCCTGTTGTGTGCTAAGGGCCCATGTGCTCCCAGCCCTCCAGGACTGTTGTCCATCTCTGGCCCATACTGTCTCCTTTCTTCAATCCTTTCCCATCCTGGATTTTTGGTGATATATCCCTGTCTCTGCCTGTCCTTATCTGTGTCTCACTCCTGTCTGCCACTCCTCTCTGCTTCCCTGACCTTCCCATATTCTCCTAGTCCTGTCTCCCATCTCTGTATCCTCTCTCTCCAAATTCCCTTGTCTCCCAGCTATCCCCCTCTTCCCCATCCCTACCTCTCATCTTGCCTGTCCCTCTCTCTTGAACTTTGCTAACCTCCAACCCATGCTGTTTGTTCCCAACTATCCCATCCCCACATCTGCCTGGTCTATGTCACCTACCTGCCCCTTACCCAAACCCTTCATTTGTCCCCACATCTGCCTCTTGCCCCACTCCAGGGGGTCCCTTGTTATCTTCCTCCCAGCAACCCTTACCCAGTTGGCTGTCTTCTCCTGCCGCTCCAAGAGTTTCTGCTGCAGGGTCTCCCCGAGGCCACCAGGGGCTCCAAACTGCTGCACGATGGCCTGGCTCTTCTTGAACTGCTCCTCTGGCACCAGGTGCCACATGCACTGCAGGTAGGTGGCCAATGTTTGCTGCAGGGGAGGCACTGGCAATTTGGGCAGCCCCTGGAAGAGAGGGGGTTCACAGGCACTCACTGTGCCTGTCCATCTGTGTGGCCATGCCTGTCCTTGGGTTGGTCCCCGGATGTGTCTCACTCTATCTCATCCTGCTCCCTATCCTGGGACCTGTCTGTTTTATTGGGCTTGACTCAACAGAATTATGAATTAAGGACCCTCCTATTTGCTGTCCCTGCCCCCTACCATGCTCAAGTTCCAGGAAGGCACAAAGTGCAAAGAAAAAGACCTTGATGGTGACAATGGACAGACCTAGGTTCATACCCTGACCCTGCTGTTGATCAGTTGTGTGACCTCTGGCAAGTCTCTTACCCTCTGGCACTGCTCAGTTTCTTCCCATGTAAAATGATCCTGTCATAGGATGAAAGGAGCAACAAACCCTAAGATGAAAGATTATGGATATTGTTGGCTGCTGGTCATTTTTTCTTTTGGTGGTACTGGGGTTTGAACTTAGGGTCTTATGCTTGCTAGGTAGGAGCTTTGCCATTTGAGTCATGCTCTTTTTTACTTTAGTTATTTTTTGGATAGGGTCTTGAGTTTTTTCCCTAGGCTGGCCTCAGACTGATCCTCTTATCTAAGGTCTCCCATGTAACTTGGATTGCAGACACACACCACCATGGCTAGCTTATTTGCTGAGATGGGGTCTCACTAACTTTTTGATTAGGCCAGCCTAGAACCTTGATTCCCCAATTTCTGCCTCCCAAATAGCTGGGATTATAGATGTGTGCCACCACACCAGCCCTGCTTGTCACTCTTCATGTAGGAAATGTTCCCAGATGGGGCTTCACAGTATAACTGTTGTCCAGACTAGAAGGGTATACTCTTATGGAAAGAGATGGATGGGGCAAAGATAGCTTTGGGTGGAGATGTGGTTCCATGCTACTCTAGTGACCAGAGTTCTATGAAATGCTTCCTGGGGAACTCTTTGTTATATGCCTCCCAGACATGAAACCCAGGCAGGAGATTTGTTCCACGTGGGGACTGGAGTGGGGTGGGAGGGCAGTAGAATTCCTTCTTGTCCAAATCTATCCAACCCTCATTTACTCATTCACAGGACATAAGTAACAACACCTACCTGAGAGGGACACAGAGAGAATTTAATGACAGAAATAACTGGCTCAAACAGGCACATCATAAAGTATTGTGACATTACCAGCCTTATTACTCTAAAAGAAATCCCAAAAGGAAACTTGTAATCTTGGGAGCCCAAAGTGTGGCTAGAGTCAGGAACCCCTGACCACTGTCCTCCTACATAGGTCTTGAGCTTCCAGTTGACCGCCACATTTGTCAAGGAGTCTCATGGGTGTCTTCAATTTTGTCACAGACAGGAAAGAGATTTTTATCCCATTTACATGTGAAGAAAAGAGGCCCTCAGTTTGGACAGCTGAGTCCCTGGCCATTCTGAAATCTAACTTCATCCTACATTCTTTGTGCTTCTTTCTCCTGGGTTGTTCTCTCCTTTCCTCTCACTCCCTCCTTTCTTCTCTTCTTCCTACTCAGCCCCAAAAACAGGAAAACGGGACTTTTAATATTGTTGCTTGAATTGTACACAGTTGGTGGACGTTGGGCTGCCTTTCTTCAGGAGTTTCTCCTCTGTGGGATGCCGAGTTTCCATGACGCAGTCATGAAAGTGGGCTGTGGAGTGAAGGGGCCCCACTAAAATGCACCCCTTTCTGCTCCTACTGCTGCTCCCTGCCACAGGTGGAGCCTCTGAGTATGTGCTGATGGATGAATGACAGTTGCCTATACCTGTCTCATCCTGTCTGTGGAGTTCACTGCTCTGGCAGGGGGTGGAGTGTCAGCACCAACTATGGGCTACTCCTGCTTTAGGGAAGGATGCCAGGACACGTCTGGGCAGCAACCTAGGCTGCTCAACCCACTTCCAGCCAGCCAGGTTCAGTCTCTTCACCCAGCAACTCTGATCCCTCCTTCTGCTGCACTTCTAGGGGGTCTGTGTGGGAGGACAAGCATCTACAGAAAGCCCAGCTTAGCTAGAGGCCTGACCCAAGAGCACCAGCAGGTCTGGCTGGAGCCACCACTAGAAAGGCAGCCCTTTTTCCAGCCTCTCATAGTGCACTGGACCTCAGCAGTAATGAATAAAAAGGAATGAAGCAGGAAATCTTAATTCAGACAGCTCAGCCCTGGGGTCTCCTCTTCAGATCTTCTGGACATCTGACTCCAAACCAAGGGACTTTGGCCCCTGAAATCCTGAGTCTCTGGTCCATATACTTTTCTTGGGCACTTCGTGTGAGCCAGCCCCTGGACTGGACTCAGAGGTGAAGAAGACACAGAGCCTGCTCTCCAGGAAGCCACAGTCCAATGCAGGGGATTAGGGAGCAGGACATGGATTGTAAGTAACAACAAAGGTGTGGCTAAGCTGTAGAGGTCAGGGCAGTGAAGCAGGACAGTTTCAAATGAAGGCCAGAGGGAGCAGGAGGAGGCATGAAACAGAGGGACTGGCCCATGCAACAACCCGAAGTCAGATGTATTACTCCATCACTCTGGGGTTGGTAGTGTGGGAAGAAGGATGCCTGCTCAGAGAGGATGGTATTGTCTCAAACCAGTGAAAAACATCGTGCTTCAAGTTACAGGGTTGAACCGGTAGCAGCGACTGGGGCTGGGATGTGGCAGAGCTTGGGATAAGGAATTCAGTCCCATCCTAAGCAACCTCACTGGACTCAAAGTCATGAGAATAGACCTTGGGATGGAGGAGGGGATGGAAAGAAGAGAGATAGCATCTGCAGTGGTCACAGGCTCTCCCTGGCCTCAAGATTAGGAAGTTTTGCAGTGGGCACTCCTTAGCACCCCAAGGACACTCCCAGTCTCTCCAGGCCCTCCCTGGGCAAGGTTGCAGTCTGGGTGTCCAACTTTAGAAGAGTGCAGGGCTGGGGAATGGGGAAAGTGCTGAGGGCCAGTCCCACACAGGACTATTCTGGGAGCAAGTGCATGTGAATCAGGATAGCAGGGATAAGACAGACACTCACAGGCTCCTCCTCACCGCTGGCAGTTTTTGCAGTTGTCTTTTGTGAAACTTTTTCCAGGATGGGCATCTTGATGTCTCCTGATCCGGAATAGCAAAGGTACAGACCTACAGACTGAGAAGCAGAAGCATCACACAAGAGCCACCCAGTCCTGCCATGATCCCCTCACCTCCCACAGTCTGACGCCTGCCCTGTGAGGAACCCAGAGCCTGAGAGCAGTGTATAAGAAGGAGCCTCATCACAGGCATGGCTCCAATCTCAAATCTCAGACCTGCCTTCTTGGCCACAGTGACCAAACTGAGTCCCCAAGTCACTTGAAGAGTGGGTCTTCAAGTGAGCCCCTAGCTGGGACCTGATCTCACAACACTGCTGCAGCTCAAGGCCAACTGATCACCCCAAGGCAGCACAAGAAGGAGCAGGGTCAGGTTTGCTTACTCCCAATGAGCAGGGGGTCACCAGTCGAGCACTGGCTTGGTTCCTGTCTAGTACTCAATTGGTGTATGCTTTCCTGATTACAATCTCTTTTCCCACTAGACTGTGAGCTTCTGAAGAGTAAGATGATGCCTGCTAAGAAATTCATTTTAGGGGCTGGCATGGAGTTAGCAGACTGTTGGTCAGCTGGAGAAAGGAATGCATGTGAATGAACCTCTTAGGCCAACTGCAGGTGGTACTCTGGGATACAAGGGCCTGGGTGAGCTTGACTTTGGTAGTCTGGTCATAGAAGTGAGCCAGGCCAAGAAGGGCAGAGGCCACTTTTTTATTCTGTGGGGGTATACTTTTTACCTTTAGATCACCCCACACCTAAATTTGTATAGGAGCAACTCAGAATTTCCATCAACCCATTCTGTCTTCTCTCTCGAGAGCCTAAAACTGATGTTTAGTGTACTCCATCACCACTACCAACCATACTCATACACAAACACAGCCCAGGTGCTAGCTCAAGGCTCAGTTCACCCTGGGGACAGACATCCACAAAGATGGATGAACCAGGCCTAAGGATGGAGAATACTGGGAATGTCTGGCCTCGCTGGGGAGACGATAGAAGGCCCATGCAAGTAGGTACAGGAAATTACAAGTGGATGATCCTTAGATCCTATCATGCCTAAGGACAGCAGGTGCTGCCTTGGACTGCAGAACTGAAGGTAGCAGTGCTGGAGTGAAGGTTTACCTTAGCACCATGCAGTTCTGAGAGGGGGCACCAGGACAAGGTCAAATTTATAAAGGCAGTCAGTAAAGTACAGACAATGAAGCCAATGCCTCCTTTTGCACTGGCTCAGCGGCTCTACCCCATAGGGGAAAACAGTGGTCAGGCTTCAGAGCCAGAGATACTGCATCTTAGAGAGGAGCAGATGACTTCCTGATAGTTCCTCCTCTTCCAGAACCTGGCAGGTGAATGACAGTATGTCTGTCTGTTTGCCCTCCTATCCTGGTCCTGCTTGCCTAGCTTGCCAAGGCTACCGGAAGGGGTCTCTGCTCTACCCTCGAGCTCCAACTCCAGTCTGGTCCAGCATCACAGGTCCAGCTGCCTCCCAGTTCACACTGGCCACATTCAGCGGCTCCCTCCCCCACTAACCCCCCCCTTTCTGCGAGGGTCTGGAGAGAGCTGGACTCCAGTCAGCACTTCAGGAATGAGACCCACCGACCCTCGGGCTGGACACAGAAAGCACAGACCTCTGTGTTTAGTAGATGTGGCTCTAGGTGAACTGAGACTACAAGGAAGGAGAGAGAGTTGGTCAAACCTCTCCAAGCCCAAGCACCCAAGCTGCAGAATGCCGCAGCCTCTTGGATGTCCCCCGACGGCCACTGCCTGCCCAGATGTGGTGAACTCCCAGAGTCCTGCGGCCTCTCAACTCAGGCGCTGTCCCTGGATGGACAGCGCCACAAGAGGGACAGCGCCTCAGTGCCTCGCGCTCAGTTCCCTGGGGCTCCTCTCCCCATGCCGCGCTCCGCCCGCCCAGCCCCGGCCCTTCTCACCTGCTATCCTGGGCTCTGCTGCCTTGGCCGCCGCCGCCTCTCCGCACCAAAAAGGACTGAGGGCGGGAGTGTGAGCCAGTAGGGATACGGGCGGGGGTGGGGGGGCGCGTCAGCAACGTATGGGTTGGGGCTGCCGCCTGGGTCCGTAGTAGAGCCTCCGACGTCACCGGGTCCCAGCGGCCGCCCGACTAGCTGCAAGCGAATCGGCCGCGGTCTTCTTCCTCGCATTCCTCCTCCCTCCCCTCTCTCCCTTTTCCTTCCCCCTGCCCCTCCTTCATCTCTCTTCCTCTGTCCTCTTTCTCTCCCCCACCCGGCACCCCCGGCCCCGCCCCACGATCCCGTTTAGCGTCTCCGGAACCTGCCTGGACGACTTCCCGGACAAGCTCTTGCACTGGCAGCAGCATTCAGGTCTGAAAAGGGGCGCCTAACATTGTCCTGCCCATGTCGGTTGCCCCAGGCTCCTCTAGCCCCCAACTCCATCAACGCCTCTGTAACTGTATATGCAGAACTCTAGGGGAGTAATGGGTCCGAGGAAAGCACTGGCCTCCTCCCCACCTCTGGCTAGGTTAGACTCATACAGTCCCTGTTAAAATCATCACCATCATAATAATTAATAATAAACAACCTGCTTGCTGATCACTGTAGGACCTCCCTCTCCTTTGCCATCCCATTCCTGCTGGGGCTTTGGGGTGGGAGGTGGAGGTGAGGTAACACAGACCGGGCCCACTCTGATGGCAAAGCCGGGACTGAATAGGGACACTCAGTTGGAAGAAGACGCTCCTCCCCATATAGGTGCCTCCACAAGAGTACATACAGAGGTATTCACAAAGACCCCGCTCAGACACACACACACAGCCAGATTAGCAAGGAAAGACGTGCACACACCATTAGGGCAGAGTACTCACAGGTGACCCTAACCCAACCTCCCCTCCACGCTGGAATTGGAGGACTTGGTGGCGGCGGCAGTGGCGGTTCCAGGACTGAAGGCGTCCGGCATACGCGAGTCCAGGGCTCCTACGACGAGGACTCAAGGATGGGAAACCTGCCTGACAGCTCTGGACAGCTACTTTCATTCAGGACGGGGTAGGGTTGGGGGTTGGTACCACCTGCCACATTCCCATTCCCTCCCTTCGTGAGTCAAACCCGTTAACCGAGACCCAGCAGACGCACCAACTGTTCTCCCACTCCTCATAGGATAGAGCCTAGCTCTTTAACGAACACATTAGTCCAGAGGTTGGTTCCTGAAAAACGGGACCCATTTTTCTTCCTCTGCCAGGAGCAGCTCGGTCCCTACTCCTTTCTCAAAGCCTGGACGGGGTGCGGTGCGGGTAGGAAGAGAAGCTTAACATAGGCTCCCTGGAGCTTTGTGGTTTGGGGCGTGTCTTTAAAGGGCAGGGCTCAGCGTGCACAGCCGGCGAGGAGCCTCAAGCTCCCCCGGGCGGCATCCCCGGGAGCTACGCTGTGCTTGGAAAAGTGTTCACTGAGAGCAACACGTGCTTTAGGGTGTCCGTGGGTGAGAGCTCTTGCTGAGTCTGCCTTCTTTGTATCCCCCTTTCTGGGTAGCAAAAAAGCCATAGACTTTCACAAGTCCACCAGACTCAGGCATGGAGACCCATGTCACCCTCCCGTCTGCCCACCCCTCACCAATAAAGAGATTCGGCCTCCTCAGACAGAAATAATTTATTAATTGGGCCGGAGGCATCGCGGTGCATCAGGCCACGTTTGGTACTGGAAGAAACGGAAGGAAGGACAGACAGACGCACAGCTATATACTGGGGAGTTCCGAGGTGATGACCCGCACACCTTTTCACCTCTGCCAGGAGCGCAATCACTTCTTGATGCTCCATGTCGCATTGGACACAGGGAGAGAAACAGAGAATGGGTTACGGAGAGGGGATTCCGGCTTGGAAAGTCGAGACTGGGGAGGGGCTGGGGTACTTGGTGGAGGAGGTGGGCCCTGAGCCTGAGTTGGCCAGTGCGCTGTCGCAGAGCAGCCACCTTGACCCAAGAGGGAAGGGCGAGTGGCCTGGAGGAGCAGCGGGGCTGCTAGCTGCGGGTATAGTAGTAATTGTAGTCGTCCTCACAGCCGTCAAAAGGGCCAGGTGGACTGCAAGGTTCGCCGTCCCCGCCTGGCACCGAACGCTCACGTAGGCGCACCGCATCGTACAGACCCTGCGGCGGCTCGTCTAGCAGCACGTCCCGCTCAGAGCGAGAGCGCGTCAGGAGGCCCACATTGCGAAGGAGCAGCAGGACTGGCGCATAGAGCAGGTTAGCCAAGCCCATGCCAAGGCTGAGCTGCTCAAAGCCAAGCGAGTGCACGATATGGCCTGCCACTATGGGCCCGAGCGCATAGGCCACGGAATAGGCGATGTCAGCTATGGCATAGACGCTGCCATAGACTGAGACGTGGCGCACGTCCACCAGGAAGGCGAGCGTGGGCAGCAGCGCCGTGTCCACCAGTGCAATGCCGAAGCAGAGGCCGCAGAGGGAAACCACTAGCGGCGCGAATGAACGGCAAGCCGGCACAATGCACGAGCTGGCGCCGATCACCACCAGGCCAAGGGCGCCATACAGCCACTGCAGGTGTGGGTAGCGTGCAGCCAGGCGCACGGTGAGGTAGACGCCTAACACGTGCGGCACGAAGGCCGGCAGCCAGACCATACCCATTTCCCACTCTGACGCCGCCATCGTGTGCTTCATCCACGTGGCTATAGTGGGCTCGAGGAAGGCAAGGGGAATGTTACAGGTAGTAAGCGCGCCGGCTACCACAGCAATGTAAGGGTCCAGCATGAGGCGGTGGATGGGCGTGCCCACTGGCAGGTTGGCCCGCGCCCGTGCAGCAGCCGAGAAGGGTTTGGCCACCGCCAGCAGCAACAGCGCGTCGAAGAGCGACACGGCGGCAAGCACTAGAAAGGGAACGAGTTTGCCGGCGAACTCGTAGAGGATGCCCCCGAAGGGTGGCGCCACTAGACTTCCGAAGCTGATGAAGGCCAATGCCACGCCCAGCGCGCGGCTGCGTTCCGGCTCCTCGGGATACTTGTCCGCGATCATGGCAATGCCAGACGTGTACGCGAAGGCTGAGCCCAGGCCCTGCAGGCTGCGCGCCGCGAACAGGGTGGCGTAGTCTTCCGCGAAGGCGAACACGACAGTGGAGGCGAACATGACGCCCAGCCCAATAAGCAGTGGCACGTCGTAGCTCATGCGATCAATGAAGGGCCCGCTCAAAGGGTTCACCAGCAGCTGCAGAATGGCTTTGGAGGCAAACAGTACCCCGATCTTCATGTCTTCACTCTCCGTGGGGTAGCGGGGCCGCAGAGTCGACCAGGGAGGCCCGGCAGCCGTCGGGGACTCGGAGGTGTTAACCCAGTAGGCGCTAGCATTAGCCAGAGTGGGCGGCGGCAGGGTGGGCTCCCATAATACCTCGGAGGCCAGGGTGGGACTCTCGCTGCCCCCGCGCATATGAGCGATGTAGTCGGGCACGATGGGCACGATGACCATGTATAACATGTTGTCCAGTAATAGCGCCACGCACACGATGACCAGCACCAGGCGCCGCTGCCGCTGGGGCTCTTGCAGCGCCGCGCCCACCGCTTCTGACAGCTTGGTGGCCGCCGCCCGGGCCTGGCCCGCGGACGCCGTGGGTTCCATGCCCCTATCCCGCTGCTCTTCCGAGGACGCCTCCACCAGTGTCCGGCGCGGGCGTTCCGCAGTGCAGAGACTAGGATGAGGAACTTCTTCGGAGGCGCGGTCCTAGCCGTGCAGCGCCCCCCACCCCCGTGCCTCAGGTAGCTGCGGGGCTCATGTCCCCACGCCTAAAGAAAGCCAAGGACTCTGTCCCGCGAGGCGCCGCCGCTGCTCTTAGCTGATCCAGCGACCCGCCACCGCTGGGCTCAGGTGCGGCCGGGGAAGCGGGCACGCAGAGGGGCTGGGCACGGAGACTGGGCGCGCTGTACCCAGGGAGCGCCCGCAGCAGCCCCTGCCGCGCTGAGAGGCCGCCCACACCGGCCGAGGGGCATGCTGCCGCCGCCCGCCCGCTCACTCGCCCCGCAGCCGCGCTCCCCTCCCTTAGCGTCGGCTGTTGCCTCCTCCTCCGCCGCCGCCTCCTCTTTTTTTCCCTTCCACTCGGGGCTGTGACGCTGCGAGTCTCGGCCCCCGAGTGGTGTCCGGGCCACTTGCGTCGCTCATGCTAATGCGACGTCGGCGGGGCGGGGGCCGAGGGCGGGGCGCAGCAGGGCCGGGGTCCTCTTCCCAGATGCTTCAGGGCTGGGTACCCCAGGAAGGGGTCTTAGTGAGAAAGAATCCTGAACAAGCCCCTAGAAATGGGTGCGTGGTGGGAGGGGCCGGCCCTCTGTTCCTCCCCACAACCCTCCCCCCCCCCACCGAGTTCTAGGACCTGCGGATTGATCGCCCGCTCTTCTCCCCCTGGGATGGGGACACGACAATCGGTTCCTAGGTTCCTCGCAGCCCCACGAGAGAAGGGGCAGCCGGGAGCTCGAGATCTCCGCCTCAGTCTGGATCTTGGCACGCAGCGGGCAGGGAGCCCCCGAGGTGAGCCGCGCTGCATCCATCTGTTCTCACAGCTGGAATGTGGAGACTCCATCTGAGGGGCATGGACCCCCAACCCTTTCTCTAGCTCCGCCCCCTGGTCCTTTCCACATCCCCCAGTCCTCCACCACCCCTACTCGCTGCGGGAAGGAAGGGGGAGGCTCAGAGACTGTTGGCCTGGTTCCGGTCTACTAGCCCTTCGGCAGAATGTCAGGACAGCTAATTCCCGACTATGAGCATGAGAGGACTGAGAGAAGTTGCCTCGCCCCCAAACAGGGTCCCAAATATGAGCACTGCCCCTCTCAACCTCCCGCACTGCCTCGTACCCTCCCGCTGCCTGGATTCTCCCTTTTTGCTTTCCCTGTACTGGTGCCCCAGCTCCGCCTCTTCTTCCCTCCTTCCTCTTCACCCTCTCTCCACTTTAACTCCTCCCAGGCCCTCTTCTCTCCTGACCAAGCCCCTCCCGTCGCTCCTGCAAGTCCCCACCCACTTTTCTACCGACCACCCCCTCCCACTTCTCCAGAGCCACCTCCAAGCTGTAGGTGGGCTCAAGGGTGGTGTGACCGGGGTCCTCTCGGGGCAATGAGAAACCTGCACGCGCTGTCCTGTTGCCCAAGCGCGGGGTAGGGCCCCGCAGCTTTGCTGTCAACACAGGTTCAGAAGAGGCTCGCCTTTAGAGAGGATGCACCCGCTGAGGCGCACAGTTCTCAGCTGACAGGCTGAGATGCCCAGCTTGACGCGTCCCCAGAAGAGATTTGACCCTGGATGGTACATGGAACCATCCAGTCCACAGGCTGGCAGGAGAGAGGAAGCTAGTGTTCTAGTCCTGCGCTGGCAGAAGAGAAGATCGGAGGCAGCTGAGGTTGAGGGGACTGACATTGAGATTACAATTCATCTCTCTTCCAGAGTCAGGGGAGCCTTCGGCCACAAAGCAAACCAGCATTAGAGAGACCTTCTTCTCCACTGGGCCCCCCCACCCCCACCCCTGAGGGGGCATCATGACTCTTAGGCTCTGGCGGTAGACACTTAGGATGGCCCCCAGCTCTGCCACTTAGTAGATAAGGGTACCTAGGGAGGAAGTTCTTCCCCTTTGTCCCTCTGCCCCTTTGCTTTGTCTGTAAAATGGAATAACAGTACCTACTGTGAAGGGGGGCTGGCACACAGTAAGAGCAATATTAGTACTCACTGTTGTTATTATCATTGTAACACGTGCTGTCTTATGCTTATGTCACAGTTGAGGGTCTTGTGAAGAATGATAAAAGACATAGAGGGCACCCTGGCTGGTTCCTCTGGGTAGGTGGGCATTGATAGGCAAGGCAAGGCTCTGTCTGGGTTGGTGGAGGGTGCAGAGTGCACTGGAAAGTTGGCTTCTGTCCCTGAGCCAGATGTGGGATGATGTGATGGAGACTAGAGCACCAGGGTGAAAGGCAACAGCCTTGCCAGCTGTTGCCCAATGTCTCCACCCACCTGAGCACCCCAGGAAAGGAGAAGAAACTCATCCACTTAACAACCCTGCCAGCACCTGCCCTACAGTGGCCGAACTGCACTGTCTGTGAGAGGGAAAGAGCCTAAATATGGGGACAGACCTGTTTCTGGATGATACTGGGTGAGTCACAGCCCCTTTCTGGTCCCCTGCCTCCACCTCTGCAGAGCCCACTTCTACAGCCTTCAGACAGACAGACATACTGTGGAAGGGCTCTTTTGGGCAAGAGAACTATTTTAAATTTTATCTGACAGCCTTTATTCAATACTCACACACTCTCCAACTCCTAATCTCCCCCCAGCTGGGTTTGTATGTTTATGTCACCTGCCTGGCTCACCAGTCACTTGAGTTTAGGATCTATGGGCTCTTTTGACTCTCCCATTATAAGGCTTTTAAAGGGGCACCCTAGCCTGTAGAGCAGTGATAGTTTATACATATGTTGTTGCCCTGTCTGATTAAAAACAGGATGTGGGAAAGGATTTAAGGCAGTTTTCTGGCTAGTGGCTGAAGAATAGTGGAATCATTTAGAAGAGAAGTTTTCCTGGTGCCATCCCAGGACAGAGCCTCTTCTTCCAGCTCTCTGTCCCACATAATAATTCATGATTGTTCCTGAGCATGAAGACAAGCTATCTCTAGACCCGTACCTAAGTTTTCCATTCTCCTATAGCTCAAGAAGCAGACTCATTTAGTAAGCACTTGTTCTCTGCCAGGGGCATTGTGTATGCTATTGTATTTTGTCCTCCCTCAATCCTAGAAGAGTGTGGTACCATTCCTCCATCACTGTGAATGAAGAAGCTGGGTCACTTACCTGAGATTCCAGCCACAGAGCCTAGATTTAAACCCAAGTTATGGGGCCTGCCTTGTGGTCCTCATGCTTCCTCCATATTCCCCATGCCCCATTATGGCCCTGTATGGCCCTGTTCTCTATCTGCAAGATGGCACACTGTGGCAGTGTAGGGGGGAGGGGCAGATAAAGACCCACAAGGAGAAGGAAGTTACAGGGCTGGTTCTCGCAGGAAGACTCAGGACTCTAAAATTCATTCCTCCGCTTCCAGATCAGAAGGCAACACCCACTTCAATCATTATCCCAAGAACTGCGGTGCAGGAGTCACAGGTAGGCAGGGACCCCCTTCAGCAAAAAGCTTCAGCTGAAGGCCCCTCTGAACTATGGCAGGATGTGGGAACACTTGCCTTCCTGCCCTGGCTGGATGGAGCTGTCCAGGGTGCTGGTTCCAGCCCTAGGAGAGCTCCATTATCTCTGTCTTTTTTTTTTTAATTTCATTTTTCTTTTATTATTCATATGTGCATACAAGGATTGGTTCATTTCTCCCCACTGCCCCCACCCCCTCCCTTACCACCCATTCTGCCCCCTCCCTCTCCCCCCTCAATACCCAGCAGAAACTATTTTGCCCTTATTTCTAATTTTGTTGTAGAGAGAGTATAAGCAATAATAGGAAGGAACAAGGGTTTTTGCTGGTTGAGATAAGGATAGCTATACAGGGCATTGACTCACATTGATTTCCTGTGCGTGGGTGTTACCTTCTAGGTTAATTCTTTTTGATCTAGCCTTTTCTCTAGTACCTGTTCCCCTTTTCCTATTTGCCTCAGTTGCTTTAAGGTATCTGTTTTAGTTTCTCTGTGTTAAGGGCAACAAATGCTAGCTAGTTTTTTAGGTGTCTTACCTATCCTCACCCCTCCCTTGTGTGCTCTCGCTTTTATCATGTGCTCATAGTCCAATCCCCTTGTTGTGTTTGCCCTTGATCTAATGTCCACATATGAGGGAGAACATACGATTTTTGGTTTTTTGAGCCAGGCTAACCTCACTCAGAATGATGTTCTCCAATTCCATCCATTTACCAGCGAATGATAACATTTCGTTCTTCTTCATGGCTGCATAAAATTCCATTGTGTATAGATACCACATTTTCTTAATCCATTCGTCAGTGGTGGGACATCTTGGCTGTTTCCATAACTTGGCTATTGTGAATAGTGCCGCAATAAACATGGATGTGCAGGTGCCTCTGGAGTAACAGTCTTTTGGGTATATCCCCAAGAGTGGTATTGCTGGATCAAATGGTAGATCGATGTCCAGCTTTTTAAGTAGCCTCCAAATTTTTTTCCAGAGTGGTTGTACTAGTCTACATTCCCACCAACAGTGTAAGAGGGTTCCTTTTTCCCCACATCCTCGCCAACACCTGTTGTTGGTGGTGTTTTTTATGATGGCTATTCTAACAGGGGTGAGGTGGAATCTTAGTGTGGTTTTAATTTGCATTTCCTTTATTGCTAGAGATGGTGAGCATTTTTTCATGTGTTTTCTGGCCATTTGAATTTCTTCTTTTGAGAAAGTTCTGTTTAGTTCACATGCCCATTTCTTTATTGGTTCATTAGTTTTGGGAGAATTTAGTTTTTTAAGTTCCCTGTATATTCTGGTTATCAGTCCTTTGTCTGATGTATAGTTGGCAAATATTTTCTCCCACTCTGTGGTTGTTCTCTTCAGTTTAGAGACCATTTCTTTTGATGAACAGAAGCTTTTTAGTTTTATGAGGTCCCATTTATCTATGCTATCTCTTAGTTGCTGTGCTGCTGGGGTTTCATTGAGAAAGTTCTTACCTATACCTACTAACTCCAGAGTATTTCCTACTCTTTCTTGTATCAACTTTAGAGTTTGTGGTCTGATATTAAGATCCTTGATCCATTTTGAGTTAATCTTGGAATAGGGTGATATACATGGATCTAGTTTCAGTTTTTTGCAGACTGCTAACCAGTTTTCCCAGCAGTTTTTGTTGAAGAGGCTGCTATTTCTCCATAGTATATTTTTAGCTCTTTTGTCAAAGACAAGTTGGTTATAGTTGTGTAGCTTCATATCTGGGTCCTCTATTCTGTTCCACTGGTCTTCATGTCTGTTTTTGTGCCAGTACCATGCTGTTTTTATTGTTATTGCTTTGTAATATA